TTTTTTTTTTTTTTTTGATGCTGCTCACACATTAAATTGGTTTCAAGCTTCAACCACATTTTGAAAAATACTGTTCTAAAGATACGTACTACACATTTGCAAGTCTACACATCAAGTTGATTCTGGGTGTTACTTTGATAGAAGTAGCCTTGAGCCTCGCCTGTGATAATACTTAGTTTTTGTTTTGTTTTGATTTTACAAGAAATGTGTAATTAAACATTTTCAAAATATTTTTTAGACAGTGAGGAATTACACTGTTTTCAAAAGGCAAGTCATTATTGGGATTAAGGAGATAGTAGTCAAAATGTTTTACGAAAAATAATTGTTAAGATAAATTGCATAAGTAAGTCGTTCAGAAGGTAGGCATTCTAGCTAACTATCTCTTTTTGTATCTAGGGCCACAGATGAGCACATTCTTGTGGCAAGGTAGAGTCAAACTTGTGTGATTTTCCACTCAAATGTCATCACAAACCTAAGAACTGTCTGCCGTGCTGTGAGATTTTAACTCATTACCTATGTTAAGTCTACAAATCAAAAACATAGTCAACATAGAAGCCATTGAAATCCAACCCTTCCGATTTTACAAAATGCAAAGTTAATGTACCTACCTGAACTTGGCTATATTACATAGTCTCTAATTTTTGTTTTTCAAAACATACAAAAAACCAACTGCCATTGAGCCAATTCTGACTCATAGGGAATCCATAAGAGTAGAACTACCCCATAGGATTTCCAAGGCTGTAAATCTTTACAGAAGCAGACTGCCTCATTTTTCTGCTGCTGAGTGGCTATAAATCAAACCAAACTCACTGCCATAGAGTCAGATCTGACTCATAGCGACCCCTCCTTGAGTTCTGAGGTGGTATGTCTACAGAAGTAGATTGCCCAATCTTCCTTTCGAGGAGTGGCTGGTGGGGTTGAACCACCAGCCTTCTGGTTAGCAGTCAAATGCCTTAGATACTAGGCTACCAGAGCTTTCCTGCTGAGTGGCTGTAGATCTAGACAAGTAGTTATATTTTGAGAATTATTTCTGGAAAAAGCACTACTGTAGAAAAGATGGCAAATGTACAGGTGGCTACCCCCACAGGCTGAAGCAGACACCTCCAGTTCTCTGCCTCCTAGCTTCCAGCTACATTAATTCTTTCTTAGATTTTTTTTTTTACATTTTTGCTAAAAGGGGAATTTATTAAAGCTTATTTTAATGGTAAAATATTACTGTATAAAAGGAATTAGACACAGTGTCTAGGGGAAATAGATCCTTTAACCTCAAACTTTTAAATGAGGTATTTACTGCAGATGAACTACAGCAAGATTATTTCTCAAGCAAATTTTTGAACCAACTCAGTAAAGATAATGACAAAAAAATTCCTTATGTTTATCTTTGTCATCCATTTTGTATGTTTTGTGTCTTAAATATAGATTTTCATATGCTTATAATAAACAACCATGTTAAATTTTCACTTTAAATGTTTTGGAAACAGAATTTTTATAGTAAAATATGCAAACTTCTCAGAAAGCACTTACATGAGAATTTTTTAAAATCTTAGCTGTTGTTACAGTGATGATTGTATCCAAATTTAATTCCATATAAATTCAAAGTTAAGTGGAGGAAAGAAAAGAGAGACTTTGAGACTTTTCTACTAACAGGGGAAATTGGCATGAAAAATTTATTCCAGAAAGAGCTGTAGCTCACAGGAAGAGGAGAATGAGTGAAGAGGAAGCAGACAGGGAGGGAGGAGGATAACATACATTCACATATCTGAAGTCTCTCTCCCATTTGCTCCTGTGGAGATATGAGGGCAAAGGGAGGCAGAGATGGCCCTTGTGGCACATCTCTAGGTCAAGACTGTTCCTTTAAATACTTTACATTCCTCAAGGTTAAGAATGAACTGCATGTGGCTATAACATATGAAGCTGAAGAAGGAGCTTACAATGCAATTCCACACTGAGCTAGCCTGAGCCTGTGGTCTGGCTTGATGAAAATTCAGGATAAATTATAAATGTGTCCTACTTAGACATGGAGAGAAATTGGGTGAAAATTATTATTAGAACTAATCAGGAATTGGAAAGTTGCTTAATTAAGACTTTTTCCCCCCTCAGTAAGATATACTCTATAAGACTGACTACCTAGAGTTTGCATTATATAGTTTGTTTTTTTTTTAAAAAAAAACTAGTTTTAAAGTATGTTATTAAGGGAATAATGAACTTAAAAAATACTCATCTATTAAGTATATATCTGTCTGAAGCCTGGGATTCAGTGGTCACAATATCTGAGACACCACTAACTCCTGGTAGCAGGCTCCTGCCATTGCAGAGTATCAAAGACATGTATCATATTTTTTGCATTTAATGTGCCAGGTAAATGGCACACACATGCATATAATGAGGGGGTTGCACAGTTTGCAAAAAGTTCTATAACACACACATTATTTGTGTAAAAATATAGTACAAATGTACTTTGTATAGTACATTTTTATCAAAATATAGTACAAATACTTTCAAATGTCATGACAGGTGATGTCATTATGTTACTTAAAGTATTGATTAGTAAAGGGAAGGAATTGTGTATCACATACCATAAAATATTTAAGTGTTACAGGATTTCTGCATATCCTCTTTTTGGTAGGATAAAGGTGTTTGCTTAACTTTTGGTTTTTTTTTTTCAAATTTTACCCTATTTTCCACTGATACCACTTTTGAAAGAGAAAACTGGATTTCCTAACTAACTGCAGAATTTATCATCCACAGCCTCAGCGGGGATTGCTGTGTCCCAGAGGAAAGTACGACAAATCAGCGACCCTATTCAGCAGATCTTAATTCAGCTCCATAAAATCATCTACATCACACAGGTCAGTGCTCCAGTTTTTCTTTCTTTCCATTGTGGATATAAGTTTGGTGCCAATATTTCTGAAGAATTAGTATGAGAAATTTTAATTAGAAGGAATGCTTTGTTCTTCATTCTCTCAGCTATGTATATGTGGGGACACTTTGGCTTAGTGGCAGAGCTGAGGAGATAGTAGGGTAAAAGACCAGACCACAGATGTCAGCTTTTTCTTATGATTCCTGGCCTGCTCTGTCACTGTTTGTAAACAGCCTAACCAACAAAACAAGAAGAAAACACTTTGACACAAATAGCCCTTCAAAATGAGGTCACAATTTCTGCACAGGACAGATGATTGAATTAAGTGAATGTGTTTCTTCCAAATGTTTGGTGGTAGGAGAAAAATCTAAATATAGGGAGACTATAGGGAAACCCCACTACTTCTAGGACTGAGGAAGAAAACTCAAGAAAGGAACAAAATAGAAGAAGGTAATCTCCTCTTGGGTGGAGTTCTCCAGATCTCACTAAAAAGGGTAAAGAAATGTTCTGAAGTTAAATTAAGGAAATTTGCAGAGAAACTTCACTCTAGGGAGGGCAAGCCATCTCTGTGGAACTTGCTGGAAATCATTTTGTGAGGATGTTGCACTGGGAAGTCACCCTTGATGGGGCCAGAAGAACCTGCCATGGGTAGGTGCTATACCTTGGAACAATTTGGGAAACAGCCTACAGGATTGGTACCATCAAATCAAACTAATAAAGGATGAAAGTCAGAGTTAGCACCACGAGATGTCCCACATGCTACTGACCACTAAGCACTGTAGGAGCAAGGCAAGACAGGAGCAACATGGGAGCAGAAAGAAAAGCCTCATCTTCCTCCAGTGTCCCAATGCTTTCCACTAATAAAGCTTAACATCCTGCTAGCTGGTTAGGAAAAAGTGTTTTAGTATCACAAGCAAGGCAATGAAGATAGGCTTGGACCGTAAAGGCCATACATTTTTACTTGGCATATTTAGCCTGGTAAATAGGACAAGGAACTCTCTTCTCTGAGGCCTACCCTTATCAGAGTCCTAGTTGCCATCCTCTGACTCCTCCCTGTGTCCTCCAAACCAGAAACCAAACTCATTGCCATCGAGTTGATTCGACTCATGGCGACCCCTCCTTGGGTTTCCGAGACGGTATCACTATGGAAGTAGATTGCCCAACCTTACTTCTGAGGAGTGGCTGTGGATTTGAACCACCAGCCTTCTGGTTAGCAGTCAAATGCCTTAGGCACTACGCCACCAGGGCTCCCCCCTGTAAAGGGAGTTTTTATTTATCCTGGGTTCCAGTAGCCTGGTTCTTATCCATCAAGTTTTCTCCCAGATCTGGTGTTCTTTTCAGTCACCCCAAAGGCTACCCTTCTGAGACTCAAAAGTCTAAAATTGATTAGATTTTCCTCTATGTTCTAATGTCAATTTTTCTCTTAATCACATAGAATTGTCTAAATGACTAAATGAAAGAGAGTGAAGAGGTACAAGGAAATGTAAGGAAAAAATTTAGTTAATAAATCAAGATAGGATTTGGCTATACCTTATTGAGTAATGGTATTATATTAAGAATGCATTTCCATTTAAATACTCATATAGAAATATTGGAAATGCATTCTTAACTTTAGTGTTATGGAAATAGCTTTAAATAGTTACTTCTACAATTAACTATTGAATTGAAAGAAAATATCCTTTGAAATTTCCATATAGTTTCCATATGACTGTCTGGCTAATTTTGTAGAACAAAAAAAATTTTATGGATGCATTCCATTTCTTTATTGGATTTCAAAGTATTTTTAAAGCAAGAATGGGGCTATTATAAATATCTTATTATTATACCTTTAAACTGCCAATAAAAGAAATGATTTTATTTTTTGGCAAGATGGGACTCCAGCAAGTTTAGATATAGCCGTTGTGAGTTTTAAAATGCATTTTCAGAATGCTTTAAAGTTTATAACATTGCATGTGGTAAGGAATGATTCTTCTCTGGAAAACTTTAATTTACACTGCAAAGCAAAGTCAGTGCCTTTCAAATAAAGGAGAAAAATGAAAGTCAAAAAATTATACTAGTGTATTTGCCATAGTTGGAAAACCAAGATCTGTTTTTCTTTCTCTGCAATTGCATAAGAAAACTGCTACAAGTAAAACTGAATTGATAAAACAAGCAAACCAATCCTTCTTGTTCACATATGAATTTACTAGTTCCAACTCTCACAGACTTATACTGTGGTGGTGGTGTTGTTGTTGTTATGTGCCGTCGAGTCGGCCCCGACTCATAGAGACCTCTGCTTGGGTTTCCCAGACGGTATCACTACAGAAGTAGATTGCCCAACCTTCCTTCTGAGGAGTGACTGGCGAGTTTGAACCACTGGCCTTCTAGCCAGCAGTCAAATGCCTTAGGCACTACACCACCAGAGCATAGATCTCTGAAAATCATCTATTTTAAAAGGCAGCATGTTAAAATCCTTAACCTGACGTGACTGGTTTGACATCCATTTTCATCAAGACAGAAATGACCAGCAAGCTAAGAACAAAATCAGCAATTCATTTAGATTTGCTGGAAACCAGAATCTATCTTTGGGTTAAAAGGTGACCAAAGTACATATGTTAATTTTTGTAGTTTTTGCCTAGAAGGCTTGTGCAGCCAACTCAAGCATTAGATTTAACTCATAACATCTGCCTCCTAGAGAACAGGCAGGCAGCAGGGTTGGATCTCCTTCATATTACCATTTTAACAACCACAGTTGTTGCCAACAGAGAAAAAAAAAATGTGATAAGAAATAGAAATATGCTGTCCTCAGATGAAAATTATACTGTTGACTGTCATTAGTAAAATATACTGTTTCTTTGGCAGTAAAAAACAACAACCAAACTCACTGCCGTGGAGTCATTTCCAACTCGTAGCAACTCTTTCTTGGGTTTCAGAGAGCAGTATCTCTACAGAAGTAGATTGCGCAATCTTCCTTCCAAGGAGTAGCTGGTGGGTTTGAACTGCCAGTCTCCTGGTTAGCGGGCAAATACCTTAGTCACTACACCACCAAAGCTCCCAGGGACTGTCATAATGAAGAAACCACTCAAACAGTAAAATGAAATTCAGAGGATTTATTCAGCCTTAACAATCCGTTTAATTGGAGGGGAATCATCAGCTCACAAAAGTGAAAACACAATGACTCCAGAGAGAGATTTGGGCAGAAACAACATAGGGCCAGAAGAAGTTACAACATAAGCCACTGATAGATTAAAGATTTCTTGAGATAAGAAGAGGGAGGGTCAATCATAGTGGGGAAAGGGTTTCTGTTGGATACATATACTTAGGTATGTTAGGTGGGCTACAAAGATTGGTTGCAAGGGTTAATTACAAAAATTCAGTAAGGCTCAAATTTACAATCAAAGTTTCAAGATGCTTATAATGCATACCTTCCAGAACAGGCTGTAAAAATGTCTGGTTTGATGTAAAAACATTTCTTGGAGCTGCCTGGTAGCCAGACTGGTGATAAGAGTAACAGTTGGCATCAAGGCACGCACCTTCCTTAGAACTGCTAGCTTCAGCAAAATCTTTTCAGTTGGCTGAGGAATTTAGAGAACAGGTTGGAGCCCAAGGTCTTTTTCTTGAGATGTTGTTTCTACATTTCTATTGCAAAAGATTGATTTCTTAAGGCCATTTTACACAAATGCATTTGTGTTAAGAGCTTCTCCTTAGGGTGCATTCCTACCACACCCGGACTTGACTGCACAGATTTCTCCCTAGCCAGCCATGGTTACTAGCCATGCAATGAGCCTAAAGAGCAGGCATTTTTACCTTTGGTTTTAATTCTACTGAATGTGGCAGAAAAATGGATTTAGTTCAGGCATACTACTTTGGTGCAAGGTTCAGGAAAATTTCTCTTACAGGATGGATGAGATTGGAACCATTCATACCTTCTCATCTGAAAGTCTTGTTTAGTAATGGCAAGAGTAAGACTAAAACTAATAAAATATTGAGGTAAAGCTGTGTTTCTCAAATTGACTCATGTTTCAGGGTTATAAATTCTAAGAGAAATTTAATATTTTGTGTATTTTGATGATAATCTTTATTTATTTTTTTAATAACATTCAGGGAAACCTCCTTTTAAGTGGTAATATGGCTACTTATCAACATCTTTTGTAGAATAAGATATTAATTTAAGTCTCTCTATCAATTGGGGACTTGTGGACTACATATGGTCTGTTGAAGTATTTTTGAAGATACAAAAGAATGCAGTTCTTTAGAAAGAACCCATATATTATAAAAGTTTGAGAAAAAACTAGCATAAGACATACTGAGATTTTGCTTCTTTACTTTGTGAGGTATAGTAAAAACAAACAAACAAAAAGGAAATCTTTAGATCAAGAAGGTCATTAACTTGTCCCGAATCAGTTCCTTCATAAGTAAACTAACAACAACAACAAAAAAAACCTCATTGCCATTGAGTCGGTTCTGACCCATAGTGACCCCTATTGGATTTCAGAGGTTGTTGATTTTTATGGAAGTAGATTGCCCCCTCTTTCTTTCATGGAGTGGCTGGGGGGTTTGAACCGCAAACCTTCTGGTTAGCAGGCAAATGCTTTAGGCACTGCGCCACCAAAGCTCCTTTCATAAGTAAACTCCAAAAAAAAAAAAAAAAAAACTCACTGCTGTGGAGTCAGATCTGACTCATAGCAACCCCTCTTTGGGTTTCCGAGGCAGTATCATACAGAAGTAGATTGCCCAACCTTCCTTCTGAGGAGTAACTAGTGGTTTGAACCACCAGCCTTTTGGTTAGCAGTCAAGTGCCTTAGGCACTATGCCACCAGAGCTCCTATAAGTAAACTAACCCAAACCCACTGCCATCGAGTCGGATCAACTCATAATGACCCCTCCTTGGGTTGCTGAGGCGGTATCACTACGGAAGTAGATTGCCCAACCTTCCTTCCGAGGGGGTGGCTTAAAGAACTGTTGTAGCGTCAAATGAAATAAAGGGTTTGAGAATGTTTATGAACTGTTAAGTACTATTCTGTGGTAGTACTAGTGGCAGCAGTGTTTGCTCTAGCATAATAGTGGTGCTAGAAGCTTCATCACTTGAGAAAGTATCCTATCATGTTACATAATCTTTCAACTTCGATTTTTCTCACCTATAAAATACTACCTGCTTTATAAGCTTGTTGTGAAGGATTAAATGAACTATGTATCTAAAGGAATAATCATAGTGCCTGGAACATACAAATCGCAGGTAGTAATATTAATATTATAGTCTTTATATGTATTATTATACTTATATAACCCTGCTGGCACAGTGGTTAAGCACTAGGCAGCTAACTGGAAGGTTGGCTGTTTGAACCCACCAGGTACTCTGTGTGAAAAAGATGGGACAGTCTGCTTCTGTAAAGATTTCTGCTGTTGTTATGTGCCCTTGAATTGGACCCGGCTCATAGCGACCCCTCCTTGGGTTTTTGAGGCGGGATCACTACAGAAGTAGATTGAGATTACTGCCTTAGAAACCCTATGGTATAGTTCTACTCTACCCTATGGAATCACTATGAGTCAGAATTAACTCAACAGCAATGGGTTTGCTTTGATTTTTGGTGTTATACTTACATATAATTAAATTATGCAGGAGTCATCATTCTGTATAAAAATTTAAAATCTTACCTGAAAACTTTGAAGATGAGGTGCTGTCCATAGTGATGATTGTTCCAAAAAGATGCAATAGCTTTCTAAGACTGTTCTACGTATGAAACTTAAGTTAACTGATTATTAATTTAAGTGATTTTTTATGAGGATTAATTTAGGCCCTTAGAAGCTGTAAAAGCAGTTCTGAGTCAAAACAAAACAAAACAACTTGTTGCCATCAAGTCAAAAAATCTAATACTGATAAATTCCAATGCTGGGGCAAGCCCTGTTTGAAGGAACCTCTAAACCCACTGGCACTGCAAACCTTCAGAGTTTGTGTACCAGACAGTCAGATATTTCACACAAGGCTTGTTGCCTTTCAACTTGAGAACCACATCAAAACCACACAGAGACCAACTTGGTGGTCTTGAGCATCACTGCCATCTGGTGTTTGATACAGGAAAATGGCAACCACTGATGGTTAGAATAAAGGAGTTCTGGTGGTGCAGTGGTTAAGGCACTTAGCTGCCAACCAAAAGGTCAGCAGTTTGAACCCACTAACCACTCAGTGGAAGAAAGATGAGGCAGTCTGCTTTGGTAAAGATTTACAGCCTTGGAAACCACATGGGGGTTGCTGTGAGTTGGAATCCACTCGATGGCACTGAGTTTGGCTTTTTGGTTTTCCCCTCACCACTGCAACCCATAGCTTACAAGGAAAGTGTACATATGCTCCTTTAATTGTCTGTTTATATCCTAAGTTAAATTCATTCCACTTTTGCTAATCTCTCACGCACACTTTCATTATCCTCATTTTCCTTCTCGTCTGTCTTTTACTGTTTGGTTGTTAAAGCCGGGGAATCTCTGTTTCTTCCTATATCTTGACTTCTCCTTTTCTTTCAGTGTGTGAGCCAAAGGACAGCAGTAATTATGACTGTATTCTAGAGCAGGGTCATGGTTGTAGTAATCACATTTTGATTAAGGCAAAAGAGAACTATAAGTATTGACTTAAAAAGAGATTACAAGAAATTCATTGCTGTCAAACTACAAAACCTTTCAACGTACACTGAAGTTCTTCAGAATCTCCAGAACACTTTTAATTCTCCTCTAGTTAAACCTGCTTTGACTTAAACACTAGGGTTAAAGATGCATTTAAAAAGCCAAGTGCACTATTTTTCTGTTTTGTATTATGATAGTACTTCATGGTGGGCCCCACATTCTATTATGTTTGGTATGATGGGCAGTTTTGCTTTCTCTGTAAAATAAGATCCCTATTGACCCTTCTATCCACTCTGCTATTACTTTTTACTGTATATTCCCATGTTCCTGTGTTACTCAGGGTAAGATAAGTTATAGTGCACTTACAGATACACCCTTAAATTTTCTGGCTTAACACAGTAGAGATTTATTTCTCACTTAGTTAAAGTTTGGCAAGTCAGAAGGCCCTCCTCCATATTGTAGCTGTACCATTTGGAAAAGTAGATTCCATATTCCCTGCAGGAGCAAGGACAGAGATACAGAAAGTACACTGCATTTTTATTGCCTTGTCCTCTGTATGACACATATCATTCTCACTAGCTGCCAAAGGGGCAAGGAGGCCACATCTTCTGACCTCCTCTAACCCCACAAGAGAAGGACAGAATCACCATCAATAGCCCAAGGCCTATTCCTGTGAGGCCAAACATACTGCCTCCCTCCAGCCTTTTCATCAACCCTGACACCAACCATTCCTCCCGCAGCACCCACTACCTTTCTGCTGGGTTTGATAATTCACTGCAGTGGCCACACAGAACTCACAGATTATGGGATTTATTAGGGAAGCACCAGGCTACAATTCAAGTTCTGGAACAATGCTCAGTCTCTCTCAGCCTGCCATCTTTCAGCCAACAGTCTCTCTCCCAGCAATGCGTGGCTCTCAGTGTCTCTCTCTCAGCAATGCACGTCTCTCGATGTCCCTTTCTCAACAGTGCATGTCTCTTGGTGTCTCATTCTCAGCAGCGCATCTCTCAGGAGTGCATTTCTCTCAACAGCATGTCTTTCTCAGCCAGCAATCAGACAGAGAGACTTCTTCTGCCCCTAGGAGGGCTCCTTTTGAGCCTGGCAGAGTGACCAAACTAACCAGTCATAACATCAGAATTCTAAGCACCTGAGAGAGAGCGAACTTCCCAGAACATTGCTTTGTGCCATTCTCAACAGAAATACCCCAGGTAGATAACTTTAACAACCAGGAGCTCCTCAGTCACTCATGGCAAATTCCGCCAAGGAGTTTACAGAGACTTATGGCTAGAAAAGCCATACCAGGTAATTTAGTACACCACACTAGCCCAAACTAGTCACAGGGTACCAATTACCCTGTAAGGGAGCATAGAAAATGGAGGGGAAGAGGGACCTGAGGGGTGGGGGTGAGAATGGAGGGGGGTGATGGCAGCGGTAGTGATAGGAATAATTTTGTCTGCCATCTTTCTCTTTCTTATGTTCTGAGCTTTGAGTTCTATTCTGGTTTTCATCTTGGAAGTTCCTGCTACCACGTTTCTCTTTCCATTCTAGCCTCTTCCATCTTTTTTTTTTTTTTTTTTCCTTTTACAATTGGTTCCTTTTCCTCTCTTTCATGCCTTCTCTGTGTTTTTAACAAAACCAAACATCATTTGAACCCTGAGGACTGTTGCAATTTTCATTTTCTTTCTCTGTTACTTTTCTCCCAAACGTTACTTCAGCCCTCTTCCTTCTTTTCTTCCCAAGATCTTTTATTTCTTTATATAAATCTAACTTGCAAAGCATTACAAAATTGATATTTGGAAATCCTCATTTTCTTCCAGTCACTATTTTCTAGGCCTCTACAGTGACTTTTTATTAAAGCTAACCTAACCCATTTTGGCTCAGGTCTGTTGTTGTTGTTGTTGTTAGGTGCTGTCACATCAATTCTGACTCATAGAGACCTTGTGTATGCTGCATGGTTCTGCACTATCCTCACAGTCATTGCTATGCTTGAGTTCATTTTTTGCAGCCACTGTACCAGTCCATCTTGTTGAGAGTCTTCCTCTTTTTCACTGACCCTCTGTTTTCATTAAAGGTTGACTATACTTTGAGGAGGCAGATCTTTCCTAGTCATATTTTGAGGGGTTCAGCTTCCCAGCACTAAATCAGACAATGTTTCACTGCTATTCATAAGGTTTTCAGTGGCCAGTTTTTCAGAAGTAGACTGCCACTCTCTTCTTCCTAGATTGTCTTAGTGTGGAAGGTTCACTGAAACTTGTCCACCATGGTGGCCCTGATAGTATTTTAAATGCTGTGGCTTCCAGCATCATAGCACTACACAAGTCAGCACAGGGTAATAACTGACAGAACAGTGGGCTCGGCCTTAGTATATCCTAATTCATTCCCTGCTTCTGGAGAAGATTTGTCCCTAAAATCAGTTCTCTCTCAAGCTGAATTTTCAGGGACACTCACAGGCAGGAATTTGACTATGAGCTAATGCAGATCTCTGTCTTCTACTTGAAACTAACAAATCCTTGAGGACAAGAGCAAGGGCTGGTGTGTTTAACCAGTTCTGGGCATGCTATAAGTACCTAAAGCTCTGATAAAATGTGTCTTACGTTATCTCAAGGCTATAAAATTCAATTTATGTGTGCAATTAATAAAACATTTAGTTTTTAGGTGAAAATAATATCAATAAAATGAAAGAATAAGATAAATGGAAGCAGACTTTGGAAAGAGAGCAAAATAATGTATCTTACTCCTTCTAGGCTGTAGGATGAAGAATTGTAGCATATAGCCACATGCCATTTGGAGTAAAACCTAAATTCTTACTTCGTCCTGTTGAATGAATTTTGTTACATTGGCTATCAGTGAATGCTTCCGGGGAATCTGCTATGCAGTGTTAACAATTTAATTATAATGAGTGTTTTCTCATTCCATGTAGCTTCCTCCGGCTTTGCACCACAATTTGAAAAGAAGGGTTATAGAGAGATTCAAGAAATCCCTCTTCAGCCAGCAGAGTAACCCTTGCAATTTGAAATCTGAAATTAAAAAGGTACAGTATTCTCTTTATAGGAATTCTTTTAGTTAACAAAATAAGAGTTATATTTTGTACCTCTTTTATTTTGGACTAAGCCCTGTCTCTATTAAGGAATATTATCACTGCTTAAGATACCTAATTGGAGATATATCTTTGCCTGTAATTATCTCATCTTTATTTCTGTAACTGTCATTTCCAGAAGACTGATAGGGCGTCCTCTGAGCATTATTGTATGTTTGCCTAATAATAACTGTTATTTAAATATCTTTAATTTTTAAATGTATTTTAACATCCTTTAGAAGATGCTATTCCAGTGTTTTATTAGAATAGTATTCAGCAAGCTCTTAAATTGAAAGTTAAGGGCTCAATTTTAGCCCCTAATAAGCTTTGCCACTCTGGAGAAATCATTTCACCATCTTGACTTGATTTTTTGTTTTTTAATCATCAATGGGGGTTGAAGTTTCTTTCTATCTTTGACTTCTACAGCCTGCTACACTTTGGGTACCAGTAAATATTTCTGTTCATGCATATCAAAACAAGGTAAATCAACCAGCCAGGAGGAAAATTATTTACCTCTGGTCAGCACAACTTGGTGACCCAGAATGCCTTTGTCCTGGTTGGTAGCCATGTGTGATACAGACCCTGAAGATAGTCATAAATTGATTCTCTCATTCCTGAAAGTTCTAAGCGCAAGCAATTTGGACCTCCTTGGGTAAAGAAGCTTGGTCTCACTCCAATTTAATATTTTAAAATTTTGTCATATGCTTAAATTTGGCTTAGTCATGCTGCAATGAACTTGTCCTTTAAGTTCTCTTTTTTTTCCCCTCATGAACCCATTCTTAAGCAGGAACCTATTCGTCATTCAAGAAATATGATGGACTCTTTGATACAAAATGCAAACAGTATATTTTTGCTGTATTGCTTTACATCAGTGGTATCTGTACATACACCCAGAGGAGAAGGGGGAGGGAAGACAATTGTGGACGAACAAAACATAGACCCACTTCAGCAGAGATTAGAAAGCAAAAAAGGACCAAGAAACAAAGCTGTTGTTGTTATGTGCCCTCGAGTCGGACCCGACTTACAGCGACCCCTCCTTGGGTTTCTGAGGTGGTATAACTACGGAAGTAGATTGCCCAACCTTCAACAAAGCTAGAGGAGGTCAAAGCAGAAGTGGAAGAGACGCTGATACTCATCTCATACTTACACACTTATCGTGAATACCAATACATTTGTTTTAAAAAGACAGAGGCTCACATCTCCTGTGCAAAGATTCTATGTAGCTAGGTTTTCTTTTTGTTATTATTAAAATAATATTCAGAATAATGCAGTGTGTACACACACTTATTTTAACCAAAATCCCAGTTTTATGGGAAGAAAGTGCCTGCTGCCAACTACCTAATGCACAAAGGTGGCTGCAACTCTTCGCCAACTCAGTGATCTTTTCCACCACAACATGTCCTTAAAGAAAATAATTTTCTCTTTTACTACTTAGGAGTTCAGTTTTGTATCCCACCCTTGCTGTCTCTCTTTCCCCCCTGACAGGGAAATGACTTTCTTTTGTTAAATTGCCTACCTCCCTCTCGATCTGTCCTGCTCTGCACTGTGCCTGCATCTCTTATTAGAACTCTTTCCTTCTGTTCTCCTTTTTCTTCTTGTTTTTTTTCCCCCAGTTGTCTCAAGTCACTTCTGATTCATGATAACCCCAGTGTGTCAGAGTGTTCTGCAGGGTTTCTAGTGGCTGATTTTCCAGATGTAGATCTCCAGACTTTTCTTATGAGGCACCTCTGGGTTGAACCTTCAGTCTTTTGATTGGCAGCCAAATGCTTAGCTGTTTGTGACACTCAGGGACTCCTGAGTCATTTGAGAGTATCTCAGTTCTCACAAGCAAAAGAACCTCCTCTTGACTGGAGAAGTAAAATCAGAGATATATGGGGTGGTAGGCAGGGGGTGTTAGGGGAGCTCAGGTGAAGGAATTCAAGAGAGGATAGACTCAGCTTCATTTTTAACTTGGTTAAGAAGTAGATAAAACTTTCCTCAGAAGAATGTTATTGGTCCCCTGCTCTGATATTACAAGCTCATGGCAGTCTATGGAACCATCTCATGTGGACCCTCAGGCTGGGCAAGGGCCTGTATAGGGCTTAGGATTTAGGAGTGGTGACAGGGAAACATTCAGCTCCAGATGGCTCTACAGAGGTGCAGTCCCAGTGTTCCATAGCACGCCCTTGACTTGGGTCTTCTCCCATGAAGGTTGTTCATACCATCCTGGTGTAGACTCTCCTGAGCCAAGGAGACAGCCTTATCTCCTGTGTGCTAATGATAGCTCTAACCTGGGAGATTAATTTTCACCACTAAACCAAAAAGCTTCTTCCATGAAGTTCTTTCATTTACCCTGTCCTGAATAAATTTCTTCTTTCAGTATGCTTGAATCACTTTTTCATTCATATTGTTGTTGTTATGTACCGTCAAGTCAGACCCGACTCATAATGACCCCTCCTTGGGTTTCCGAGGCAGTATCACTATGGAAGTATATTGCCCCATCTTCCTTCTGAGGAGTGGCCGGTGGGTTTGAACCGCCAGCCTTCTGGTTAGCAGTCAAGTGCTTTAGCCACTATGCTACCAGAGCTCCCTTACTATGTTTTAAATAGCTATTTAGCTACCTTGCTTTTCTGATTCCTCAGAGGCAGTGTGTCTTTTTTTCATCCTTGATTCCTCAAAGCATTGCACAGTGCCTGACACACAGTAGGAGGTCATTGAATAACATGAATAAATGAAAGAAAGAAGCCCCTATCCCCATCTAAACCTAAACAAGAACAGTTTGTGGCCTTTGTTTCCTCCACCCGCCCCCATTGATGGAATAATCCTTAGCTAGAGATAATTTTTACTCAGGAATGGTCCCCTGTTCAGTCATATAGGATGTGACCCAGTGGCATAGTGGTTAAGTGCACAGGTGCTAATGGAAACATTAGTGGTTCAAAACCACAAGCTGTTCCACAGGAGAAATATGTGGCAGTTTGCTTCTGTAATGATTTAAAGCCTAGGAAACACTGTGGGGGAAGTTATACTCTGTTGCTATGTGTCAGAATTGACTTGTTGGCAATGGATTTAGTCATAGCAGGGAGTTCCTGGGTGGCACAAATGGTTAACGCGATTGGCTGCTGATCAAAAGATTGGTGGTTTGAATTCACACAGAGGTGCCTCAAAAGAAAGGCCTGGCAATCTATGTTTGAAAAATCAGCCATTGAATATTCTATGGAGCACAGTTCTACTTTGACATGGATGTAGTTGCCATTGAGTCAATTCTGTTTTTTAAGTCATAGTGGGGTAGCCAGTTATCCACATTCACCTCACACCAGAACTGTGGAAGCAGTAAGCAGTGATAGCACATAAACAGCTCCTAAACTAAACCCCATATCTCCAATTGGAAGGAGCTAGAGGTGTTATGGAATGATTCTGCCTGTTTTTCATAAGATTCTGAATAATTGAGTTTAAAAAGAAGAGAAAAAAGGCTGCCATGAAGTTGATTCTGACTCATAGAGAGCCCATGTGTGTCAGAGTAGAACTATGCTCCGTAGGATTTTCAGTGGCTGATTTTTCAAAAGTAGATTGCCAGCCCATGCTTTTGATGCAACCATGGGTAGACTTGAACCTTCAGCCTTTCGGTGATAGCAGCCAAATACGTTAGCCATTTGCAGCACCCAGGGACTATATAGGATAGAAAGGTGTTGCAAAATGGAAAGGTTTTTTTCTAAGAAATTAAGTTCTTTATCTCACCAAAGTGGACTTCAGCCTGGTGATGTTTAGCCTTGGCTAGAGTTGCAGAGGAGAGTAAAGCAAGTGTACAGTCCTATTTGTGACTTTGGGAACTGGGATTTTCAGCAGGGAAGAAAGGCAGACAGAAGTAAGATAAAAGAAATTAATTCAAATTGGAATTGGAAGTGTTAGTATGAAGAATCTGATTTCATGGTGAGTCTTACATGTTAAAAATATACAGATTTCCTAATTTTTCACTAAAGATGTCTAGAAACTGATCAAGTAGCAATGAGCAACCCCAGCACCCAGAACCCACAGAGATATAGTTGATTGCAACTCTGGGCAGGAACTGTACAAGATGAGTCTGGAATATCTTGGCATAACTGCAGAGCAAGGATGCTATCAAGGACAACTGAGCCATGTGTCAAAAGACTCAGGAGCCGGCTTGAAGAGACTTCCACTGGCTAGCCCATTGGGATAATTGGAGCATCAGTAAGAATAATAAATGCAGTAAATTGAAAGCATTAAACATGTTCAAATCCGAGAGTTCATGATGATACTAAAAAGTAATCCATTATTAATTATTGATGGAGTGTGATAGGTAACCAACTTATTATTTTGAAAATTATTTCCAAAAGGAGAGAATCAAGGATTTATCTTTCCTTTCCCTTATGAATTCTGTCTTTGATGGTTGATGAGGGGATTTCTCATTCTAGAAATATTTCAGCTAATAAATGCTAGGGTATAATAGAATAAAACCAGTTTTTCAGCCCCTAACAAAATAATGGACCTGGTTGCTATGAGTGGGAATCAACTCCATGTCCTACAACAACAACAACAACAACAACAACAACAACAACACAAAAGACATATTCACTAATAGCTGCTAACATTATAAAAAGAGAGATAATTGGGCATTATCTGCCTCCCAATGGAAGCACACAGCACTATCTATGAAGTACTCTTGCCAAAATATTGAACCTAAATTAATCAAACCTCTAGATTAGATTTCAGTTAGCTATGGCCCTCAGCCAAATCCAGTCTGCTCCTTGATTTTGTAAATAAACTTATCAGAACAAAGGCACACTCCTTTGCTTACATATTGCCTGTGGCTACTTTGACCACCACAATGACAAAATGGAGTAGTTGCAGCAGAGACTCTATGGCCTGAAAAGCCAAAAATGTTTAATCTGGCCCTTTGAAGAAAAAGACCTCTGCTCTAGCTATGGCTCCTGGTTTGCAACAATTACTGGAAACAAAAG